ATGCTACAATGTTATTATCTGACTGTTATTATCCAACCATTACTTTAGCTGCTTTTTTTTATGATGCTACAATGTTATTATCTGACTGTTATTATCCAACCATTACTTTAGCTGCTTTACAAATTTTAAATATTTATTATCTGACTGTTATTATCCAACCATTACTTTAGCTGCTTTACAAATTTTAAATATTCAAAAAAATTTAATAAATATCGTATGGATGATTATTTTGGAAGTATGATTTTTTAAATGGAAAGTAAATTTAATAAGTATTTTAGGCCTATTTCTATTATTTTTGGTTTGGGGTTCTTATTGATCCGTAATTGAAGGATATTGGCCTTCGAAGTTTGTTACATTCCTTGTATGATGGACAGATAATAGACACCGATGATGGTAGCACTATTACTGCTACTACTCATCATAATACTATTAGAAATTATTTTTAAAGTTTATATGATGAGTATGCATCTAAATATGGTGTAGCTACACAACAGTCTACAGGTTCGGCTTCTTCGAGCTCAAGTCGGGGTAAAAGTGTAAGTTTTGATAGGTATGCAATGGTAACTGAGCTAACTGGTGGATCTCGATTTGGATCATCATTGGAGGTTTCTGAAATTGATCAATATTTAACTGCTTCTTTAGTTAAATGTCCAACTAATAATTTAGATATTTTACAATGGTAGAAAGTATATGAAACAATTTCTTATCCTACACTTTCCATCATGCTTCTTGACTTACTAATAGTGCAGGTTCCGACGGTAGCTTCGAAATCCGTCTTCAGCATAGCAGGACGTTTGATCGACGACCACAGAACATCGTTAGATCCGTATACTGTACAGACGGTGATGTGCTTACAAAATTGGTGGAGGTACGAGAAGAGAACGCAAGACATCGATTGGATGACTGGTATTGAAGATAAATTTAAAGAGTTGGGACTAGCAAATAGATATAAAGAGTAAACAATATTCATAAAATTATAATTTTTATTTCTTAGGTAAAATTTGTAATGAATTATTTTGGAAACAGTTACAAATGATAGTGATATAGATGAGTAGGTGTCAACCTAGTTGGAATGTACTCATCTATTGTGATGTGACAAATTCCGAAATAAATTTATACTTGTAAAGAATTTACTGATTATTAATAAAGAAGTTATTTTTATCATCTTGTTATTTTTAAAGTTTTTTGTATTTGTAATTTATATAATTTCAAGTGATTAATAATATTATTGTTTTTATTAAAATTTTGTGTAATTTTTTTATGTATTATTAAAATTTTAAAGAGATAAAATTTAAAAAAAAATTAGGCCGACCCGGAGCCAGACCCGCTCACGCCCGGGCTTGGGTTTCGGTTTTGCCCGGCCCGGGCTCGGTTTTGCGGGTCGGACCAGACCGCCGAATGGACACCCCTAGGCTTCACTTACAAAAAGTTAGTAGACCATTAGTAGCCATTGAACATCAAAATAATACACTATTATTACACGCGGCCCTAGTGCAACAACGGAGAAGTAAGCTCGTCATAAAGCAATAAACAACCTAGTTAACTGCGGACATGTTGAAATATCAAAAGTTAAAATTACCCGCACTGTCCTTGCTAGATAGGCGGAAGTAAACGGGCACCTTCTCTCGTAGCGGAATTGTAAACCCTTTAAAAGGATTGCTTAACAAACAGGGTTAACAAACATCTCAACCATAATTAATTTTTGGCAGGTTAGCGAAGGGTTAAATCTCTTTTAACTCCTCCACAAACGCAGCCTAAAAGATTAAGCCTTTTAGAAATAAAGAAGGAGAAAAGAAAAGGAAAGGATTTTTTTTTTTTTTTTTTTAGTTAAAGTTAAACCGTCCTCATGTCTTTTTAACGACATGAAAGACTTCCCATATCCTTTCAAAATTTTCCCATCTTCACTAGGGTTTTAATATAGTAAACTATAGAAATACTGACGTGTTGAGCACGTCTAATATCTTAAAAGATTAAACCTCTAGATTACCGAAAATTTCTTTACATCCACCATATCGTTCGATGAACATGGATAACCGGATATTCCGTAAATAAATAGGAGTGTTGTTGCAACAATTATAACTTGTTACATTTATTGATTAATGACAGGGAAGAGAGATATTACGCCAAATACATTCTAATGTCTAACGCTTACTCGTTGCAGATGACTAGATTGGGTTTTGCTTTTCTCCCAAAGACATTTTAGTTACTTGCCAATTACATGCAAGATGTTTCGCCGGGAAAACTTTAAAGCTGGGGGGCCATGAGACACCCCAAAGTTCAGGGGGCGTTCGTGAGACAAAAATAGCTCAAGGGTGCTGTGTGCAGAACGCCCCCAAAGTTCAGGGTACTTTTGGGAAATTAACCTGATTTCAAACGTCACACTAAAAAGCCGTGTAGGCCTGACCCCGAAACTTCGTCAAAGATGGAACTCACATCCGATCTTTCAGTTCTCATGTCATGCGTGAAGAGATCAACATATTTCACAGCAAGTTGTAAAAAGCCAAAGGGACTTGCACCTGCACATCAAAAACTTCACGTGGGGCTGTTAGCTACACCTGTGCCTGTGTGGCTGTGGCCAAAAGCTGCGCACCTTGGCAATGGCCTGTCCTTTTAATGAGAAGGACTCGTTCCTTTGAGGTTGAAAAAATTTCGTCCATTCAAACTCTCGGCCCAATTCATCACCACATGAAGCCACGCGATTATTATGTAGAAGAGATAAAATTATAAATGGGCATTTGCAGAATTAGAAATTGTCTCTGTCTATATGATGTACCTACCTATCATTGAGACTTTACATTAAATAATATGTTATAATAATGTGTGCTAGAAAACAAGCAGTGGCATCTGTCTCTAAATATCACCTCAAGTTGTATTTACCATGGCAGCTGATATTATCTGGGATGGTGGTCCAAAGACTCAACAGAAGCTCTAGAGATAAGCTCTGCTGGTAGTCATGTTTCTTCCTTCGGACAAATTTTCAAAACAAACTCTTTTGCAAATTTATTCCCAAAAAACAACTCATTTCTCTCTTATTTGTAAAAACCGACCTAGTTTTAGCCTCTGCGCTGAAACCAGGTCGGTTTTTACAAAAAAAGTTTTGAAACTTCACGGGAGTTGAACTACCGTGAAGTTTAGCAGCTTTTAATTAAGCTGCTAAACTTCACGGGAGTTCAACTCCCGTGAAGTTTCACAGTTCAAAAAATTTGTTTTTAAACTAAGAAACTTCACGGGAGTTTAATTCCCGTGAAGTTTAGCAGCTTAATTAAAAACTGCTAAACTTCACGGGAGTTCAACTCCCGTGAAGTTTCGGAATTTTTTTTTTTTTGTAAAAATCGACCTGGTTTCAACGCTGAGGCTGAAACCAGGTCGGTTTTTACAAATAAAAATTAAAGGGGTCGTTTTTTGGGAATAAAATTGCAAAAGGGATTGTTTTGAAAATTTGTCCTTCCTTCCTCTCAAGCTGTCATGTCTCATAAGAAAGATTCAAGCCTATAATTAATACTACGAAAATCTGCTTTACGACTCATGTTATTTCATATTACGGTTCATTTTACTTCATGTTAGTAAATGTGCAAAAGTCCCTTTAAATTGGGCACTAGGGTGTTCCAATAGAAACACATTCAAAAAAAATTTGAAACATATTCCGTATTTTGAAGTGAGTCCACATCTTATCTTATCAGAAATGTCCCTCGTGAAAGTGAGTTCACACCTTAGCAGAACCATCGGGGTGCGAGCGGCTGTTCTGACCCTCGATGGGAATAAATAAAGGGCAAAATGGGAATTTTCCCCCACTCGAAGGGTCAATACCAAACCATTCTCATGTGAGTGGTTCTCATAGAATGTGTAGTTATTAGAAGTTATAGGTACTTGAAATAATTTAACTTTTGATTTGAAGAGTTAAAAAATCAAAATGGGAATCAAACTCATGTCCTCAAACATCACTTTGTGACCGTTAACTGCTTGAAGAGAAAAAGTACATATCAAATTCGTTCCTATAAGTTCTAGGCTAGAAATTTCCTAGTTTAAACCAACCTAAAACTGATCCATTGGCTTCTTTGACTTGGAGAAATATTTGGTAAAATAGTACTATTTCCTTTGTTTTGCTGTCTCCTTGTGGTTAGGATACAGCCACCTAATATGTTTCCTTGAAAGAGCAAGGACGACTAGGCATCGAATCAGAACGCCCACACCATGTCGCAGGGTTCTTTAAGGGGTGGGGGGGCGGGGGGGGGCGTCAGTCAAGACCAAACTACCACATGTTTGTCACAAGGCATGGGTCGGAACCTAACCATGGTGCCGGAGATTTTGATTGCGGGAGGTTCTGATAGGATCTTTACCCTCAAACTCTCACACTGCTTCGTTACAAGAGCCACACTTGAAAAATTATACTGCAAACATCCACTAACGATGGTGAGAATACTCGAATAACTACTGCAATTGGATAAATTCAAAAGTGAACTATGAACTAATTATAAGAGTAAACACCATAACCCAAAACCTGCAATCGATTGTGTAAAATTATACTGCAAACATCCACTAACATGTAACGGAACGAACAAAGGTCAACGAGGTCACCCTTCTCGCCTTGTTGGAGCTCGTGAATTTGAATCTCAAGTGATAAAATCGTGCATGTATGAATGATTTATACTGCAGGCATATTGCACTATAGCTCAAGTTCACAACATGAGGAAATTAATAGGACTACTGCATCAACGTACACCAACGACCAACTAACAATACGAGCATAAATACAGTGTCAAATATAGCAAAATAGAAAATGCCTGAAAATTTTGAGAGCCTCAGAAAAGGAAAGATAGTTTCTAGTTAGGATCATGCTGGTCCCGCTTCTACCTCACCTAAAACCCAGGACCTTGAATAATTGCGGATAAATTGAAGGAAAATGGACGGTCGATGCATGCTGACCTGTAAGCGACAATGGCCGAGATCGTTTCCAATTGTTGAAGTGGTTGTAGGAAGGCTTTAAAATTCTGGGCTTTATCTCTTTTGGCACCCACCATTCTTTTACATCTTCTCTCGCTCTTGTTTCCTTCTTTGGAGCCTGCACTGCTTCTCTGCAATGCAGTAAGAGCAGCATCTGTTAAAGAGATCCTGCAGTAGTCACTGTACTTGCAAGATTTGCCAAGGTGTGGCTTCCTATGCTCTAGAACATTCTAGATTTTATTATATTATTATTTCCATTATGAAATTATTGAATTCAATTTAAATTCATATGTATATTTTTAATATCATTTGAACTTTTAAAAGTGCTTATAGTCTTCATTACATCTTTTTTCATCGGAGATAGGCTTATCAGACTAAACTAGACATGAAGTTCTGATTTTAATCCACTGTAGCAAATTTTTGATAGAGATTGTCGATGGTTGGAAATATTTAAAGCTTCTTTGATCTCAGGTTATGTATTGATTCAAGGGCTAGCTTCTTGTAGTGATTATGCTATTCTCAGTTTAAGTTCACTTATGCTGAAAATTTCAAGTACTTCAGCACATCATATCATTTCACACCATATTCCAAGTAGAATTCATATAGATGGAACAATTCAAGAGATAATTATTGCATGTTCGTTGATTTTCTGATTACTGATTATCAGCAAGAAATTACAATGAACTGAATTAGCATTGACTTCCTGCAGAATCCCTAATTTTCATAAGCAATGACACCAAGCTCATCAGAATCCTTACCTAAAGATCATGAACCAATGGAGAAATGGATGGCATTTCCATCTACAAACTCTCAACCAAATCCAAACTCCAAGGAGATCCGCGAGGAGTCAACCGAGCCTGCAATAAGCAAAGAGATTGTCGACAGAGCAGCAGAGTGGGGCCTAGTAGTCAGATCAGAGAGTGGAAGAAATTCCAACAGTGTGACAGTTGGATTGATGTCGGTTGGAGAGAGAGGAGGTGTGGAATCTACTAGAACATCAGGGGAGTCAAGTTTTGCAGTTGAGCAGAGCATTCTAAGAGTCTCTCAGGATTTGAAGGATGCGCTGTCGACACTACAGCAGACATTTGTTGTGTCGGATGCAACAAGGCCGGATTGCCCAATAATGTATGCGAGTGCAGGGTTTTTTAGTATGACGGGATACTCGGCGAAGGAAGTAATTGGACGAAACTGGTAGGAATCTGTGTCTTGTGATGATTGCTATACATTTTTCTGCATAAATATATAATACAAGTACATAAGTTTTCATGTCAAAGGACATTGCCACGGCACCAAAACTCTAAAATTGTAGTGAGGGTTGAGGATTATAATTTTATATTCTAATATGACCCCGCTAATTTAGGACCCTTTCATGAGTCAAAACTTGGACTCGTGAAACGCTAACTTTTTTTTATAAATCCTCCTTATAAATTCATTGCCAGAAAAATTCAAACATGGGTTGCTCCACTACCATGTCAAAGGACCTGGCCACAATATCAAAACTCTAAAATTGCAGTTAGGATTGAGGGTTTTAATTTTATATTCTAACAGGCCCCTGTAGGTTGAGCACCCTTTGTATGGGCCAAAATCTACACTAACGCAGTGATATCAATTTGCTTAAAATCCACTTTAAATCCATGACCGGTGAAAATTAAACCTAAATATGATACCATGTAAAGGACCCTACCATTGCATCGAAACTCTGAAATTATGTTGAGAGTTTAGGGTTATACTTTTATACACTAACAGACTGAACATGTAAGATCATCATAATGTCCTATTATTTCAGGTATAAGTATTGAGGTCTCACTATCAGCAGAAATGATCCTGATTCTAACATTTTTTTTCTGTAGAAATAGGTTACTAGGTGCATGAGTTCATCCAATAAAGTTCAGATGTCCCATCTTTTAAATTGACTACACTAAACTGCATTTTCGATCTCATTACCTTACATAAACTTCCTGTTTTGCAGTTATCTCCCCTGTTATTTCACTAAGCCGGTACTTTTAATGTGTTTCTCTGGGGATGGACTTATAATTAAAATCACTTGAACTCTCCCCGCAGCATGAAAATTAAGCTTCATTGAAATATAAGGAAGCAGATTCCATTTAATTCATACTTCTATTGCATTTTAGCCATGAAAACAGCGTCCTTTACTTTTTGCAGATAGTTGAGAGTTTCTTGGTGTCTCTTTATCTCTATCTATTAATTTGTTTCAATTCTATAATAAGAAAGGACCAAAAGTCTTCTTTTATAATGTTCACACCAGTGACAATGGGGATTTATAACTCTCCACATCGTCCATAAAATGATGAGGTTACCAGTTCTATGCACCTTTTTTGAAGCTTATAATCTCAATGTAAAATCACAGCCTCAGAAAAAAAAAATTCAAGGTTGTCCTCTCGTTGCTAGTTTATGAATTAAAGGGGGAAAAAGCTTGTTATCTCCCAAAATTGTGTATCTGTAAATTAAATTTAGCAAGCAAATAACGGAAAGAATTTACTTGGGTCTCTTTGTGCATTTTACATACTTATCTTCGACAACTTTTTTTTTCCCTGGATTGCATTATATGGATATACAAACAAAATGTTAGTATTTTTGGTTTTTTCTTGTTACAGTCGATTTCTTCAGGGACCAGACACGGATCAGACAGAACTTGAAAAAATAAGGCAAGCAGTCCGAAGTGGAAAGAGCTACTGTGGAAGGCTCTTAAACTACAAAAAGAACAGAACTCCATTTTGGAACCTTCTTACTATAACACCTATAAGGGATGATAGTGGCAAGGTTATCAAATACATAGGGTAAGATGTTTCATCTTGATCCAAAGTTGTGCAAAGTCCAGGAAATACTATATTTTAGTAATTTTACCATTAAAAAGGCCTTAATTTTGTTTCATCTTGTCTAAGACTATTCACTTTGTGATATTTCAGGATGCAAGTTGAGGTAAGCAAGTACACGGAAGGTTTAAATGAAAAAACATTGCGACCAAATGCAATGCCAGTGTCTCTGATCCGTTATGATGGTGAGAATACTCGTTAACGACTACCTATATATGTTTGCTTATGATAGAAACAAACGGCACTTGAAAAAGTATGAAAACTTACGGGTCCTTTTGTTTATCAGAACGGCAGAAGGAAAAGGCCTTGTCTTCAATGACTGAGGTTGTCCAGACTGTGAAAAATCGTCGTCCTCACCCACAAGATGAACATGAGGTTGCTGTGAAGATTGATAAGCCTGAGAAGTCGCCTGTCGAATCACCTCTTGTGAATCCTGCAGATCCAAAATATTCCAAATCTCCTCTTGTGAATCCTGCAGATCCAAAATACTTCAAGTTGCCCAGTAAAATGAGTCCGCTAGCAGACCTCAAAGGAAACTCATCAAACATGGGCAGTAGAAAATCAGGACGTTCTTCGTTAATGGGGTAAGTTTTCATCATGGAACTTGTGGTGAAGAATTGATAGAGAATTGGAAGTACGACTCATATTTTTATCTTGAATGTTGTAATTAACTTGCTCATCATATTTTTCCCCTGGTGATGTCTACTTCTTGCTGTATGATGGTTCATCGTTCAAAAATAGTTCTAAACAACATCTGCAACTAGAATTTATGATTAACAACAGATTCTCAAGAACCTAATTGTTCGAATTTATTTGTAGGTTAGGAGGAAGAAAGCAGAGTTCTGCAGAAAACAATGAAATAGCTGTGGAGCCAGAGATCTTAATGACCAAAGATATAACGCATACCGAAAGCTGGGAACACCTCGAAAGAGAAAAAGATATACGCCAAGGAATTGATTTGGCCACAACCCTGGAGCGCATTGAAAAGAACTTTGTCATAACAGATCCTAGACTTCCTGATAATCCTATAGTAAGATTTAGTATCAGAAACGAAGATCAAAGAAATCAAGCAAGTTTGGGCTTTGCAAACAAACACGATATACCTTGATATCAACACCTACAAACCGGCATATAACAGAGAGACAACTTATAGCAGAAATCTATGCATCTCTAAATCCAAATCTTCTAATACTTAAAATCAATGAAATATACAAGAATTTTTCATACATTTTTCTTCAAATTGTGTCAAATATCATCTCTCTTAGATAACATCAACCACTCCTTCCATTTTCTCCTATATCTAGGAGAGTAATCTTTTGACAGCATACAAATTCATGTTCTTTTCTTTGTCATTTCTGCATCCCAGGTAGGCATAAAACTTAGAGGAGGTGCTAAATCTTGGGAAATTTTCAACTCAAAACTTCTTTCACCTAGAAAATCTAATCATTTTGTATATTATGTTTTGCAGATATATGCATCAGACAGCTTTCTTGAACTGACAGAGTACACGAGAGAAGAAATATTAGGAAGAAATTGTAGGTATGAGTTGGAAAAATATCTCTCTGCGTCCTGAAAGTTGTCTGAATTATTAGAATGTACTTCATATATTCTATCCATTCAGAAATTTGACTTTCTGATCATCCAAGACAATTATCTTGAAATAATATAAAGTTATAATAGTAGTAATCTACTCGATGAAATAATAGTATATGTGTACAAGAGACATATTATCATTGGTATCAGTATGCTAAAGGTTTACATTATGCTTCCCAGAGTAGACCTCCATGATATTTGGTACGATAGTTATTCAACTAGGAAATCTCACAACAGAAGGAACACATCTAACAGAGAACTAATCATGTCCTATCAGTCAATTGAATGGACTGATATGTTTTATGTCTATGAGTTCAAGGACAAGGACAACTACTTTTCAGTATGACAAGTCTCTGGTTTATTATTATACACTGTTTGATACATCTAGGTAGAAAATGAGAACTGATTATCTCTATTGATATTGTAGGTTTCTTCAAGGCCCTGACACAGATCAAGGAACTGTTTCAAAGATAAGAGATGCTATAAGAGAACAAAGGGAAATCACCGTACAACTCATAAATTATACAAAAAGCGGTATTGACTAATCTATAGCTAATCATGATTTGATATAAAGATAGATCACTTTTATAAATCACTTCTAACCTTGAGCATTATGAGGTTTGGTAACATTCAGATTTGCAATATGAAAGACAGTAGCTACCCGCGTTGACAGTCACAAGCATGAACTTCTATTTGTTTGGGATACTTAGCGGTCTATTTTCTTTTTTTTTTATCCTTATTGTGGCAACAGGAAAGAAATTTTGGAATTTGTTTCACTTGCAGCCTATGCGTGACCAGAAGGTAAGAGACCCTCTTTCTGCCTTTTATACACAAAACGAACACGCAAATATAGAGACAGATCTTAAATTTAGCTCAGCTATAGATATTTCCAGAAATATTATGATCCTATTATCATCAGGGTGAACTTCAATACTTCATCGGCGTACAACTTGATGGAAGCGACCATCTGGAGCCACTTAGGAATCGCCTCTCTGAGACCACAGAGATGCAGAGTGCTAAATTGGTAGGTTTTCTTATTTCTCTCTCAGAGAATATCAGAGACAGTTTCATTGGAGAAGTAGACACTTGCATCTCCAAATAAAATCCTCACACCTAAATAGAACCTTAACTCGTAGTACTTATTCCGTAGGTTTGCCTGCTGGTCATTAATAAATAGTCTTCTAACTAGTAAAAAAATTGCGAGGAAGTTCGGATTAGAGAAAAAGAAAGAACCTTAACACAGACTCAACCTATTAAAAATACTTCTATCACTCCAGATTGTGCATCAAAGAACTCCCATCAATTGTTGATACATCTATGTGCACTAAAATTTATACATGTCAGGATCGCACTCTAAAAAATTGAAAGTTAACTCACTTTCCCGACTATTCTAATAATCAACTATCCTTTCTCCGGAAAAGTGATCATTAAGATAATTCTTTTGCTACGTAATGTTGTGCTGCTCTCCTTAAATAAAACCAACATATCTCAGAAACTATGAGATTAACCAAAAAATATCCTAAGAGTAGCTTCATGTGAGTTATATGCTCAAGCATGTGTTTGAGAATCATAGTTTTACTCGCTAGAACCAAAACTGTAATCTCCACAACTACAACTAATTTAACACTCTTTTCAACCCATCAGAAGTAAATAATGCGAACTCAGAATGTCACTTAAAGAGCATTCTGCGTGAAACTAGTTAAGTATCCAACAATTATGAGGGAAAATGTAAGCAATGTGATCCATGTAACCTTTTTTTGTACAAAATAGAGCTTTGTTTGACTGTTCAATTATATTCAGATCACTCTATATGAGCTTTACTGATGATTCTGACTTGCTAACAGGTTAAAGCTACAGCTGAGAATGTTGATGAAGCAGTTCGAGAGCTGCCTGATGCCAACTCGGTAAGGTATTTCCTTTGCACTTTATTATTATGATTGACTAGATGTAAAAATGTATATGGTTGCTCTCCGCATAATTTTTTCATGCTTGCCTGTTATTTCTATTGATGTGATAAGCACTAGGCAACTTGATCAATTGCCTGGTAGATGGATGACTAAATTGGGGTAGCCTGAAGAGATCATCTAAATCCCAAAAGACCTTACAGTAAATAAAAAGGAAATTTTGTGCATGCCATTCACGTCTTTAGTTTTTCTTCATGATTTGCTTTATATTCTTAAAGGTCTCATTAGCAATTGGATGATTCTGTGAGTGTACTAAAAGAACCTACTATAACAGGATATTTCTAAGAGAAAGCAATAAGTATATCCCCAGTGAACTCTAATGATAGCATCCAACTCTTGACGCCATTACTAGCTCTTGGAAGAGAAATTAAACTTATGAAGACTAGGCAATTGGGCAACAAAAATTTAAACTGATAATAAAAGCAAAACTCTGAATGCCCAATATGACAAGGATTCAAGGACATCAACTAGGTGAGGTGGAACCGGTAAAAAAGAGATTATCTCATTCATTAATGAGTATTAATGACTAGGAATAACAGATGCGAAGAGTAAAATTTCACATGTACATGCAGGAGGAATTAGAGAACAAGGAAAAAGGGAAAGGCTAGACAAAAAAATTATCAAATAAAGATAAAAACATAAATTATTTATTTAAGATTTAAGAAATTAATCTGAGATAGGATATAGCAGGCATTTTGAAGAAGTTGACATGCGTAAGAACCTAGAGAATGAGCCAGGAATCATAACCATGGTCCCAGTTTGTGCTTATGCATACTTATTTGCACATGTGCCATTTCACTAGCAAAATCCTGGTATCTGAGAAAATACTTATGTTAAATGGAATGCAAATGAACCAAGCACTTAAACAAAATTCAACAAGTACAAACTCTGTGTACATGACACATAAAGCTCCAAAACTGTCAGTATCACCAATTTGTAACTTGAAGAAACACCTCCATGCATCTCTAGGATCCATCCTGAAAATAAAATAACCACTGCAACAGAATAATAATTATGCAGATCCAAATATTAAGGAAAAGTAACAAAATAGTATTCTTAGACCTTTAGGAACGGACAAATTTGGGGTTTTAATTGTCCTGCATTTGGTACACTTTACTAAGAGAAAACGGAAGAAACTAACTTTATAAACAGGATATGAGACAATCTCTTATAAAATGCACATCACATACCTCTGCTAAATAATTACAAATAAAGTTCCAGAACCTGAGGAAGATCGCCCATTAGGCAGCAGGAAATAAAGGCACCCATGCCTACCATGAATCTATATGGAGCTGCTACTATCGTGTTGAGGTCAATCTATATTGAGATATTCTGAGATTGGTTATGCTGAACAAGGTCACGTACAACATTCCGGAATTTTGAAGTGGTTGCCAACCTTGCATTAATCTTCTAATCCTTATGCTTACTACATTCTATGGTTATTTGGTAAATCTAGTCCAAATAAATATGGACACTTTCTGTTACGATTCAATAAATGCAACTACATAATAAGCAAAGGAATGATGATCAATGAAAAGTAAATTGTCCTGTAGCTAAGAATTTTGAGTATGATTAGTAATTACAAATTACCTGTGCCAAGGCAGTACACAATTAAGTCATCATTTCATGAGCATGAAGTGAAATTATTCTTCTTTGTATATGTTGTAAAAACTAATGACAATACATAATATTTTCAGAGACCAGAGAAGTTGTGGGCAGTCCATTCACAACTTGTCTTCCCAAAGCCCCACAAGAAGAGCAATTCTTCATGGTTAGCAATCCAAAAGGTACACCTCATGAAACATCATGCACATAGATTATTTTTCTGAATCATTTGCTTACTTATTAGCCATCAGGAACACACTGAATTTAAAGATATTAAGCTTCCATATCCTGTAACAAAGTATTTAATCTAGCATTTGGTATTCTCACATACTTCTTTTTGTCTTTTGGTAGATTACAAGGCAAGGTGAACAGATAAGCTTGAAGCATTTCAGGCCTATAAGACCATTAGGTTGTGGTGATACTGGAAGGTACTACTACTAACCCATCTGAAGATCATTCACCTTCAAACTTCCAATATTTCTTGTGCTGGTTGCAAGCACATGTATGTATGATTCCTTATGTTGTACCAAATCCCTTTTACCAACAAAGAATTCATATAATTTTTCTGGATATACAAAGGATCTAGCAGTGCCAGTCAATTGTATCCTCTTTTTAGTAGTAAAATTCTAGATTTTATAAATAAAGAGGTACCAGTTTTTTATAGAAAACTAAAATAGACCAACAAAGTACTCATATCAGTAACAATGTATACTGAAAAAAGACAGCTCAGTTAACATGACATGAGAAATTTTCATTGTTTAGAATGCTATGTATTATTTACTTCTCAAATTTATCACACATGTCATAGAAGAATCAAACGAGCTTTGCTCATGAAGTACAACAGACTCTCTCTCTCTCTCTCTCAAACGAGCTTTGCTCATGAAGTACAACAGACAGACTCTCTCTCTCTCTCTCTCTCTCTCAGATAAAGTTGTAGGTTTGATTCTACTCAAGAAGTCCATCTCCCCCTTCATGGGAGATTTCTATGCCCAAATTCCGGGGCTTTGAGTATGAACCTTTCTCAAAACATAAAATAAAAATAAAAAACATCAACAAAAAATGGTAAGAACATATTCTACATCTTTTAATCAATAAAATTCTCCCATCAGTCCAGTTGAACATCATGTTGGACCAATAGGAGATAAATTTTATCTCAAATGTCAAAAATGTGGCTTGTGGCATATGACTTTGGAAAAAAAAAACTAAAGTGTCAAAAGTTGCTGCTCACGGACAAAATGAATTCGGCGCTCCTATTGTTGACTTTGCTGCTCCAATTATAGAGGTAGTCTTCTGGGTCTATAAAAGGGAAGCTTGAGGTGTATCAAAGCTGAGGAGAGGTGTGAAGAAAACAATTAGAAACAGAAGAGAAAAAGAGTAGAGAGTTTACTCTCGGGTCTACTACGGGATTATAGTGTGTCTATCATTGGTAGTGGGGTGAGAGATAAAAGCCTATGTAATTGTACCAATTTATTACATAGTAGATTTGTTTGAGAGCCCGTGTTTTTTCTCCGGTTGAGGAGTTTCCACATAAATCCTTGTGTCGTGATTGTTTATTTTTCTTGAACTATTTCTGTTTTGGTTGACATTTTTCACTACAAGTGGTATCAGAGCCCGGTTCCTTGGTCTAACAAAGGCAAAAATGTCGGCGATAAAATTTGAAGTTGAGAGGTTTGATGGGAGGATCAACTTTGGTTTGTGGCAAATACAAGTCAAGGATTTGTTGATTCAATCTGGACAACACAAGGCGTTGAAAGGCAAACCGACCCCTATCTCCGGTACAGATTCTGAAGAATCTAAGTCTATCAGCGATTGGGAGGAGCTAGATTTGAAAGCTGCTAGCACAATAAGGCTATGTTTGGCAAAGAATATTCTTGCAAATGTGCAAGGAGTTTCTACCGTCAAGGACCTTTGGGAAAAACTTGAACAGATGTATCAAGCAAAGAGTCTTTCAAATCGGTTGTACCTGAAGGAGCAATTCCATACACTACACATGGAGGAGGGTACAAGGATCTCAGACCATCTGAGTGTTCTCAATGGCATCATTTCAGACTTAAGAGGCAATTGGAGTTGATATTTCTGATGAGGATAAGACATTGCGTCTTATCTGGTCTCTTCCGGGTTCCTATGAGCACATGAAGCCTATCTTGATGTACGGAAAAGAAACGGTGATATTTTCTGAGGTCACCAGTAAACTCCTGTCTGAAGAAAGAAGGCTTGGCAGTGATAAAACTGTTTCATCTATGAACAGTGCACTCGTGGTCAATGGAGTAAAGAAAAAGAACTCTGGAAAAGGAGTTTGCTGGGTATGTGGACAATCTGGACATATCAAGAAAAATTGTCCAAAAAGAGGAGCTGGTTCGACATGTGGCTCCAACTCCGAAGCAAACCCTGTGACAGAGATTGAAGATGTCCTCTAATGAGGAAATGTGCATCCACATGGCATGTCTGCTAGATGCCATGAAAGAGGATGCGTTAGTGTTAGCGGGTCCACATGTTTACACACGGGTACTGATTTCGCAGTTTGTACAAGGTGTGTGGTGGAAGGATGACGATGGCTAAAAACTCCCGGGAAAGCGAAAAATGGTGGAGTTTCACCATAGTTAGAAAGATGTTCGTCATGTGTCGAAATTTTTTGGTATACTCATTATGGTGGAGTATGGTTCTCGATTTAGAGAATGTGGTTGTCAAACAAAGTAAAAATTTTATCTCTTAGGTGGAGATTTGTTGGACCAATAGGAGATAAATTTTATCTCAAATGTCAAAAATGTGGCTTGTGGCATATGACTTTGGAAAAAGAAAAACCAAAGCGTCAAAAGTTGCTGCTCACGGACAAAATAAATTCGACGCTCCTATTGTTGACTTTGCTGCTCCAATTATAGAGGTAGTCTTCTGGGTCTATAAAAGGGAAGCTTGAGGTGTATCAAAGCTGAGGAGATGTGTGAAGAAAACAATTAGAAACAGAAGAGAAAAAGAGTAGAGTTTACTCTCGGGTCTACTACGGGATTATAGTGTGTCTATCATTGGTAGCGGGAAACACTTGAAAATTCCGGGTAATTTTCTCTTGTATTGACTTCATTTTTCTTGTGGGGTGAGAGATAAAAGTCTATGTAATTGTACCAATTTATTACATAGTAGATTTGTTTGAGAGCCCATGGCTTTTCTCCGGTTGAGGAGTTTCCACGTAAATCCTTGTGTCGTGATTGTTTATTTTTCTTGAATTATTTCTGTTTTGGTTGACATTTTTCACTACACATCAAACTGTGATAACTAGCATGCATTTTTCTTATAGATGTTTTCCTATATCTTCGATACCGGAACATGGATGCATATGTAAATTACACAGAGCACTTACAATAGGCATAATACTCAAAACCAAAACGATACATTATCATATTACCAATACTATGGCTGAGTTTCTCAAATAATGATAACTTAATTGTTCAAATTCATCCCCTAGATCCGTGGAAGTACGCATGATATATTAAATGTAATATTTATAATAGCTACCAATATAAATAACACTATTAATAGACAAGGATGATATTTTAGAAATCAAATTCCTTCAAATTAAACCACATACTTGACAAGCATATCATTGCTCAGCAAAGGCTAATATCATCTCTTAAATTTTCTTTAGGATATATGCTTTCAAAAGTGTTGACATTTTATAGTTTTCCATGACATGTTGTTCTTTTCAACAGTGTACATTTGGTGGAACTACAAGGTACCGGAGAACTATTTGCAATGAAGGCAATGGACAAATCAGTAATGTTGAGCCGAAATAAGGTTGTTGTATCATAGAAACACTAAATGCATGTTGTTATTAATTTCTAGATTAGTTGCCATCTGACTTTACTCTTTCCTAGCCGTAACCACAAATCTCTGGTAGTAAGTGCAATGGAGGATTCTTTCTCAAACTTGTATCTACTTTATTTATGATGGTGCTTACCATGTATTATACCAGTTATTAGTGATATGAGTAGATATCCAACAATTTAATGAGAAATTACTTCATTTGCATTTATGCAAGTCTGAAGGTTCAACCTAAAATAATTATGATCGCATGGTCAGTGAACATAGTATCCTCAAATTCGGCAAATTACAGAATTTACCTCTCAGATTGAGTTTATTGCGTGCAAAGGCCAGAACTAAAGGGAGGGGGAGTTGATTAATTAGTTTAAAACCAAATTGATTCAGGATTAACTAGCACTTACTAATTCCATTAGTTTTTTCCTTCAAATAAGGAACTAAATCCTACCTTACATCTTCTCCACACCAAATCCACATGAAGCAAAAGAATCTAGGCTCAGTTGCATGAAAACGGGTACAGGTACTGGCATAGGCGCGGGTGCGGGTATGGGTACGGGACACGACAAAGTTGTAAAATGTAGGGTACGGGGACAAGGCTGCATATGTATATTGAGATTAATAATTTACATGAGATTATTATTGTTTTCCAATTCATGTGTTACTAGAATTAAAATTCCTATTATGTTTTCTAGTTTCTTCTATTATGTTGATTATTATAAATTGGAAGCTACTCGGATTTGAACTAGACACCCAAATGACCCTTTAAAATCACATATTTAAACTTGGGTATGGGCTGAAATGAACTCGAACTATGTCTTACAGGTTTCAAGATATGGAGATGAGCAATGTGGTGTAAGATATACATTCAAAAAGTGTTTGACAAGTGTTCTAAATTAAAACATATATCATATAATTAATCACATGTCTGAATAAATGTATGCATATATCCAAGGAGTATCAATGAAGTTTGGGTACAAACCATTGTCGGATATGGGTACGACTTCATGATAGAAGTACCCGGGTAACATAGGATGTAGGAAAATCCTATTTGAGTCAAAAGTTCTAGTTACTTGATTATCCATCAATCTTGCTCCATTTCCAATATAGGATTGAATCCCGGCTTCATGATAGAAGTACTCGGGTAACATAAGATGTAGGAAAATCCTATTTGAGTCAAAAGTTCTAGTTACTTGATTATCCATCAATCTTGCTCCATTCCAATATAGGATTGAATCCCAACTTCATGTGAATACTAAATCCACCACAACTTGAGGGAATGCAAGACACTCCCAAGATCAGATAGTGTCGGCACTACCAAACCACTTGCTTTCCATTCTATAGTTCTCTTTGTTTATTTAGATCTGTATATTCCTCTTATCATTCTACGCCAGCTCCCTATTCTATCTATTTGTTTTTGCCGATTTTTAAACAGACTGTACACTAGATGCTCAATAACTAATAGAATATTCCTCATTTTATTTAGTTTGGTACATCACAGTTCGATAAGTCATTATAGATTATTCTGCAAGGTTACAAAGTAATAAATTGATATCATTCTTTTCCTGCAAAAAGATAGTAAATGCTTTCATTAACTGTACAGGTGCATCGAGCATGCATTGAGAGGGAGATTTATTCCCTATTGGATCATCCTTTTCTTCCAACATTATACACTTCTTTTCAGGTTTACTCCTCTTACCAGTTATAAAATTTTATCAGCAACTTATCTTGACACAAACAATATCATTCACTTTGTACAGAAGCTTTTAGCATTCATATTCATGTAGACAACTTCATTTAGATGGATTCATTATTTCAGATGGCTAAATCACCAAATTAGCATTTTAGTAGGATCCTGTTTTCAATATGGTATTTTTTTCTTTCACTAGCAACATTATGATATTAATGTCGAAATAAATACCAATATAGTTTTTTATCTTTCACTAGCAACAGTATGGTATTAATGTCAAAATGAATAGCAATTTGGTTTTTTTCCTATATGAAAAAAACCAATCTGATTATTTTTCCTATACAAAATAATACCAAATTGACTTCAAAAGTCGATACTAATACCTTAACGTTGCTAGTGAAAGAAAAAAAAACATAATTAAACTTGGTCCTCCTAAAAATACCAATCTGGTAATAGCCTATTTTTATTTGTAGTTTCTTCGCATCAATTGCCTAACATTACTTATGGCGTCAAGTTAAATTTAAATATTAAGTGATAATTCTTGACTTGTTAGCTTTCTTCTCAGAATCTATTCCATGTTGACAAGTGGGCATGCATGTATTTTAAATAGTTCTGACTGTCCACAAGTTTTAATCCACTATATGAAAACCTCCCTTGAAGTTTTTCCTACTACCCAATTCCAGCAATTTGAAGCATGGATGCTTAGTATTTGGTAAAATCCTTATTAAGCTCACAAGTTACTACTATATGTCTAAAGCTTAACATATCAATTGTTGTCACTCCTAATAACATAGTTTACGTAGGAAATAGGGAGATAGTAGGAGGAAAGGCTATAGAAAACTGGCAATGTGAACATATGAAATCATAGTGACTTATTACTGCATAGAGCCTGAATAAAAGATGAATGCTCCGTGATTAGGACAAACACTTATGCCATCCATTTGGGCTCGTAAATTGTATGTCTTATTAAAGTGATTCTGTCAATAGTTCACTAGAGAAGCCTTCTAAACCTTAGGTCTTCTATTTTTTATTCTATGTTTTTAAAAAGACCTTACCTTCGTATTAAACCATCTTGGTCTTTTTTATTCTGATAGAAATACCATGAATTTGGTTTTGATCACTTTCTCTTCTATTGACATTTTTCCAAGGCTTCTGTTAAGTCACCAAATTTGAAAAATCAACTTCACATTCCCCATCATTTAAGTATACGTGGTTAATCTCTTGACTACCAATCCAATCAACGTTGCTGTCATATTACACAACTATGTAGCACAGACACGGATCCGACAGGACCATCCGACACGCCGACACGAGGCAAATCCTAAAAAATACATAGGATATAGGATACGATACGTGTGTTCGACACGTGTGTCCGACACGGACACGACACGACACGGCTTCATGTTATGCGTGTCCGTGCTTCATAGTTACACAATGCTATCTTAGACTAATGTTTGTAGAAATGTTTCAATGGAACTATACGCAGAAGATTCATTTTATGAATACAAAGATGGGAATACTATTACGTGATGACATAACATTCATGAAAATCTAATATTTTATATGGAAAAGATACTAGATAAAAATGTTTTATGTAGTACATGATACTTTACTTCATTTAAATAAAAATACATATCAAAATGATATAAACATGTATTGAAAGAATGCCTAAAAAGAAATCCATTGCATGCATAAGATTCTCCAGTCTCAATATCACAAAACTACCTTAAAATTTAAAGTTATAAGTACATTAAAGAAGTGTTTTACTTAACTGAGGAGTCTATTTTGCCATTATTTGACCATAAAAATTTCCATGTCGCATAGAGCTTAAGTTACATTTTATCTTTATTCATCTCTCTCTCTCTCTCTCTCTCTCTCTCTCTCTCTCTCTCTTCTTCTCTTATTAACCAATAGAGAAAAGAAATTAAAATGATAATTTTGGATGCCACATTTTTTTACAATAGATTCTTATTCAGTATAGAACTATCTCTCTCTCTCTCTCTCTCTCTCTCTCTCTCTCTCTCTCTCTCTCTCTCTCTCTCTCTCTTCTTCTCTTATTAACCAATAGAGAAAAGAAATTAAAATGATAATTTTGGATGCCACATTTTTTTACAATAGATTCTTATTCAGTATAGAACTATGAGTCTATGAGAACTGTGGACTTCACAGAAGAACCTACAAATTGGCATTGGCACTTTAGAGAAACGAAGTTACTATCAAGTATCAAGAACAAGAGAATAAATACTTTCAGATGTTTATACTTCTATAGGAATCATGTTTCCAGGGTCTACCTAGTGATCCCTCTGAGTATTCCTATATGCTCTTTTGTATATTATCATGTATAATGTCACCACTACATGCTTATAACTTAATATCACCCAAGTTTCTTACATCATCTTGTGATTGGTGCAAGTACAAAATGCAAATGATTGTAGTTTGGTTTTATAATGTTTGGTTACACTATAACATGATGCACACTGATTCTTAGATTTTCTAATATACTTTGATCTAGGTATCAAGTAGGTTATGCAGCTTCTTATGGTCGTTACTTTATATTCAATAGCTTCATATATTTTCCTAAAATTAGTCGATATCATCAAATGTAATATACTGATTGATTCTTTATTCTTCAGACCACAACACACGTTTGTTTAATAACAGACTTTTGCCCTGGAGGAGAGCTGTTTGCATTGCTAGATAGGCAACCTATGAAGATTTTCAAAGAGGATGCTGCAAGGTAAAAAAAAAACTTACATAAGAGCATTCGTTTTGAGAATGTCAATGATTGCATACATGGAATCTTCTAATTTGTTAATTTATCAATGTGTACATGAAACTTGTGCAATGCTAACTAATTTAAGCATTGTTAAGCTAATACAGTGCATATCAAAATTTTGAAAAGTCCCTAATAATAACGCAAAGTGTACAAATTAAATCTAAATGCTCGAACCTATTTGTTTCTTATTATCTTTAAGTAGTAAGCAAATAATAAATTTAGACATTTTTTCTGTTTGTGAATTCACATATACATATGCATGTGCATGTCCGTGTGGATGTGCATATGCATGTGTTGTTTAGAAGGCTTAGTTCATTGTTTCTCAAGTATCTCTTAAACTTTGCCCCACATATCAAACTACAAGGTGGGTTACCACGGTGGGTTACCACACTGGATTATGGTCATTTTAATCTACAAAACTTAAGATGTATGTATGTGTGTGTGTGTTTTAACAAATTACAAATCATGTCTTTTGTTGTTCCACAAGAAAAATATGTTTACTATACATGGTTAAGAGATTCGATCAATAATTGATGTTGCAATTTTTTTTAATGAAACACATAATTTATTAGAGTATAACGGCTAACTGAAGGTTTCATATATCCATAACCCTCTGAATTGTAGTTAGAATTATATAAACATCTCAAATAGTTTTCAAGTTGAGGACATAAGCACTCATACAAATGTCCAAGCTACTGAAGAAATATTGTTCATTGAAACTTGAACTTGCAAAGTTTCCAAATAATAAGTTGGAAGCTATCGCTTTTATGACTAATTCACATATAAATCACTTAGGTGTTCTTGGTGACTGCATTTGTCATGTTAACCTCATTTCTTCATATGTGTATGTGGACACATACCCATAACTAAATTCTATTTGACTAATCTCATTTTTAATCATCCGTTTGTATATCTACATCTCATTTGTTAATCCAAGAAAGAGCGCATAATTTTTCAAAATCATCTATACATGGTTTATCTCAGATTTCTATTATAAGGCATATATGTGTATTAATGATATTGAATTCATATAATATTTATTCTCTATGAACATTTTCCAGGTTCTATGCTGCTGAAGTCGTAATCGGTCTGGAATATCTTCATTGTCTAGGTAATTTCACAATGTTACATGAGGCATTGTGCATTTAATGATGGATGTGTAGCAGGTCTGTTATGCACTTAGCAAACTAGATTCATAGTTTCAAGAGGAACTCATAATGTGATATTTAATAGTTTGTTATGCAATTGTTTTTGTTCCTTCAAAAATCAATAAGTTAGACTAATAAAGATATATATACATACTTGCTGCACAACTGAAACAATATCACGTCAACCTATTTCTAGATATCTATTAGAATCAGTGTTTTAAAAGCAAAAGGCGAGGTAGAGGCGATTAGGTCCTATGTTGCCTGAGGGGAGAGGAGCCAAAAAAAGGTGATCACTGAGTGAACGAAGGCGATAAATATTCAAAAAATTCATAAACATTATAATTAATATGCAAGTATCAATAACAGCGACAAGACATATTACTCACCCAAATTTTCAAAGTCACAAATCTAATAAATAAACCATCTAAATCTAAATGAAGTAGTAAGTAACAAATATTAAATAGTAATATCAACTAGTAACTACTAACACATATAATTAAGCAACAAACTTTGAACTTTTAAGGTTCAAATTGTGGTATGTCCTCAAAATAATATAGGTAATAAAGTACATTTTAGCAAAAAAAACCAAAAAATCAACAATGAAAAACGAAACACAAATTTCAATAAAATAAACTTTAGTTTATCGTACACCTTCTGCACGCTCAAAGTTTTAAAACAAAGACAAATACCTTGCGCCTTTCATCACATGCCTTATAAAAACCTTTGAGGCGCTAAGGCAAGGTCACAAGGCGTCAATGCAAGCTCTTAAGGCACCAAAAAAAGCGATCACCTTAGTGAGTTTCATCGCCTAACAATACGCAAGTCGCTAAGTCACAAGATCGCCACGATTGAGCGCTTGAGGTGCCAAGGCGTGTTGCCTTTAAAACATTAATTAGAATGCCACCATTGATGAAGACAACAAATAGTTATGAACCATCATAAAATTAGATATGCTGACAATTCCATTGTGCACAATTTAACAACTTTTCAAATTAATCTAATTGATAATAAAATACCAATACATGTATGAAATATCTTTGTTTCATTCTCATGTGTCAAATTGGGCCAAAAGCAATAAGATGGAGATCATACTTCTTGGATGGACATTTATTATATTTTTCATCATATAGCGCATTTGATAATCAAAATTCAATTTGTTTGTTTAATTTTTTTTTATTTCATAGTTTTGTAACTCTATTGTATAAGTTTTTGATAAATGGATACTCTAAAATATATATGATAGTGCATTTCTATCTGTACTCTACAATGAAACATATTCCTTACAGCCAAAGCCCGCTTGTATAATAAGATCCACAACATGAACTAGAACTATAACATTTTCTTTTTTGATACAGGAATAATATATCGAGATCTGAAGCCTGAAAACATTTTACTTCAGAAGGACGGTCATGTTGTGCTGACTGACTTTGATCTTTCTTTCTTGACATCATCCAAACCACAAGTATGCAAATTTATTCCATGGAAATTCAATTCTCTTCTACATCATATGATTACTTCAATTGTCAACTTCATACATTGCGGTTGTTCCCTTGAAATTATTCTCAAATGCGGTTGTAAATAAAATACTAATATTGTCATTCTACCATTTCAATTATAGGACTATGCTTTATCGTAAAGTGGAGTTTGTTACCATATGATGTCTATAGTTTGTTTAGTCTGAAAATATTATTAGGGGGTGTAAATATAATATGAAGTGGATATTGGTGTTAGTGTATTTGTTTTCTTCTTAGTTATTACAAATATTTACATTTTCTTGATATTAATTTTCCTATCCGTATTTGACAAAAGTGAAACTAAACTTAGAATAAATTTGGATATAACCAGATATTATTAATTATGGCTCATGTTTTGAAGGAAAATGAGTTCAAGTTCAAATTTAGTGTATAATCTAGTAAAGGAGTCCTTAATGATAAAATAAGAAATGCTAAATAGACTTAATCTATATGCAGTTTAACATACTCTTGTACATTTGTATACAAATTCAGATCGAACGTCTATTATGATTTATGAATAGCTTCCCAATGTCTATCTATTTTTCATGTTTTATGTGAAGGGTTATGGATATCAACATTTGTCATAATACAGATAAGGAGCAAAATTCAAGTCCAATTAGTGTAAAATACCTTCAATATAGCCAACATACTGGTGGGTATATCCTTTTATAAGGCTTGCCACAAAATGATGTGATCTTAATCATTATTTTAAATATCCCTAACATGGCTTAATATATCAGCTAATATATTCTTTTATAAAACTTGTTGCAAAACAATATGGTCTAAATATTCTTTACCACTTTTTAGCAATGATAGGTGATATATCATCAACATGCCCTGATATATCAATAGTGATGTTGATCGACATGTCCTTTTACATGGCTTGTCAGAAAACAGTATATTGCTTTTGGTAATTTTTGGGTGAGACAAGATGATTTGCCTAATATATCAAGTGGCATTTCGGCTCAATTAAATATTGAAATGTCAAAATGGAATTTTATTTGTTTTAAAAGGTAGATTAGTCATCCTAAGCATATAATATCTACAATTATGTATGCTCAGATCTCATTAAGTATGTTTACATTTCAGTTTACGACATAATATAATATATGCATATCATCCGATATAGCACTCCAATATTTACTATACATCACCAATATCCACAATCTGATATGAATTTTGGACGTCTGATATTTTCCCAATATCTGATACTTAAAACCTTGGACTCATTCTTTACTGCTTTTTGGTTTGTTACAAAGAATATGAAATACTAAGTAAGACATATGTTTGCTAATGTATCCTTTATTTGGGTTGTTGCAAAAAAATATCGTTCCGCAAAAGCTATGTGTAATGTTTTTTAGCAAAAGTACCAGTCCTATGAAGTTTTTAGCGAAATTCTAGTAGGCAATTTTGCCTAAATTTCTATAATAGGTTAGTGATCCTAAGCATATATTATTTAAATTTTTGCACGCTTTAATTTCATTATCTAGATTACCTTTTAGGATATTATATCATACATGAACATCCAATATAGCACTCCGTTATTTACTACATATTCCCCATATTTTCCCAATATCTACAATCCAATATGGATTTTGATCTTCTAATATTTCCTCAATACCCAATATTTAAAACCTAATTTTTTTTCATTTATAAGTCTATGTTCTGTGGATACTCGTGCCATATCTGCATAACATATCAGGGCTACTCTCTAGTTGGAAGTAAGGTTTAGTAAAAGATGTAACCTTGCGCTGAAAGTAAGGTTTAGAAACTTTTCACCATTTGAATTAAAATAAGAGAGAAGTTTAGATCATCAATGTTCAAAGTTTAATAAACTTTGTACTGCAGCTTTTAGTGATTTCAGCTGTCATGAGACAGTAAACTCTTGCTAATTGTGTCACTGCTTAATATGATCTAATAATTAATCTAATAAATGTTTTAAATCTTTCAGGTGATCTTACCTCCATCGCCAGCAAGGAGAAAGAGATCCAGAGACCAGTTTCATCCAATCTTTGTCGCGGAACCAAGCACACAGTCGAACTCATTTGTAGGCACAGAAGAGTACATAGCTCCGGTATGCATCTTTTCTATTTTTTTCATGTTTTTTGAACTAATGTTTCTGTTGTTCTAAATTTAATGCTTTAACAGTTGTATGAATTAGGACCATAGTTGATATCACATATACTTAAACAAAACACTATATTGTCTATAAACTTAATCAAACACTAAATTCTCAAGATTAGATATAATCATCTACACGACAAATTGCTAATTCTGATAGTCACCCTTGCTTCTATTGTCAGAACTTTTTCGTGGGCTACATCTCATTATATCCTACTTTTGACAAATTCTTTCAATTTCCGTCTTGACAGAACAATGTTTAACAAGTGAGTATTAACTTTTGATTTTTGTTTGAGGGTTTGAATACTTCACACAAAAAAAATTGACAAAATAAGAACAAAGAGGCTTTTCTAACTAATTAAGGATAGCATGCTTCTAGCCTACAACAAAGGGGAAAATTAATGGATCCCATACAAATCAAACCTCAGCCTAGACAATCAATTCATAACAATGCACACCAAACACTAGTTCCATTGAGTTTCTGGAATTTAATACCATCATCAAATCAATTCTACTGAAATTGGGGTTGGCATCTATATAATTATTTATAGTTACTAGTACTTCCATCACTCACCATCACTGCCAAGACATACGGTGAACTTAATAAAATTATCATGCATTTATCAATGCCTATACTTCCATTCTTTTCTCCAATGCTTGATGTAACTATTGAAAGAAATCTGGAAATGATGTCAACCATAAGATGTGGTGAACTTAATAAAATTATCACGTGCGTAACAATGTGTATAGTGTATACATTAATTTTCTCTTTTTTTCTTGTATGATACTTGATATAACTATTGAAAGAAATCTGGAGACAATGTCAAAACCATTTTAGGTGGACGCAGTGTGTAACTCAATATTAGAGTTACTGCCTAGAACCACGTAACACCTGTTACTAAGGTATTTGAACGTTCTAGTTGCTAATTTATAAGAAATATATGAAGAAAACCAGTAACTTTAGGGAAGCCTGACTTTGACATGTCTATTAAAACAAATTGGCTAATGTGCGATTTACAGCATACATCATTTCTTGAGTCTTTAACTGCAACCTGGAAGTATGGAGTTGTATTATTCTCCAGCCTTTAATCATCTATGTAATCAAAGTCTTAAGATAATGTGCACTAAAGAACATTACGATGTCATATATCATGGCTTTCATTCTATAACTAAGTATTACGGTCACCATACTCAAGCACTCCCATTGTCACTTTATTCTCATCCTTTATCTTGGGAGGAAAACTTGATATACCTTCATCGCAGGAAATAATTACAGGAGCAGGACATAGCAGTGCCATTGATTGGTGGGCTCTTGGTAAGATTATAACCATACATGCATTTAATTTTAGCTGTCTTGTCTTTAGTAATACATCTATATTTCAGATAGATACATACATTAATATGAGTAATGGCTAATCACTTTGAGGAACAAACTCCTCATTTGCTTCACACAAAAAGGCACATGACGAGTCGCTATATTGGATCATTGTAAAGGGTGATCCACATCATTGATCTTGAACGTATCATATATCAGGATAGAAATAATGTTTGCTAATTCATGCATTGGTTTCTTCTGTTCTATTATTAAAAGTATGCTCATTTTGCATAACACATAATCTCGTACCCATATACTTATAGAAGGCCAACACTTTACAAATGGACTTGGAGAACCCAGTGGGCTGGCCCTCAAGTTTGATATAGTTTGCTCCTAGTGAATAGTAGATTCTATCCTACATGAATGTGCACATAAATTGAGTTTCGAAAAGCTTCAAAATATTCCATTAGATGATCGAAAGAATATCCGTTCATCTAGGCTTAAAGAGCTTAAGTTTATGGAGTTAATTAAACACGTTCTGTACTTGACTGCTGGAAAAATGCAGGAATACTACTATATGAGATGTTATATGGCCGTACACCTTTCCGGGGGAAGAATCGCCAAAAGACATTTTCCAATATTTTGCACAAGGACCTGACTTTTCCTAGTAGCATACCAGTAAGTGTACATGTCAATAGTAATGTTATGCTTTTTTTATCGCTTGTAGTTTGTAGCCTACATCTGTCATAGTACATACCATATACATGTATAATGGGGATTGGGGACAGTCATATGCATAAGACTCAACCTTAAAGGATTACGAAGCTTAAAAACTAATGAAGATTGCTTGTTATTCCAACTATAATAATTTATGGTTTGATCCCACCAATAGCCACTGCTTCTCATTATAAAGATGCTAATCATTATCAGGTAAGACATCATATGGTTTCCTTTTCATTATTAATATAACCCTTCTCTAGCATAAATATATTAGCCGCCTACCTAAACTATTAGTCTATTAATGAACTAAATGCAGTTGCCTAACTTCCACATATATTACCAACTAGAAATCTTACTAGGTGTACAAGTGGCTTCAAATAAAACATGTTTACATGATTAGGTTCTCCACATAACATCACTTCAATCTAGTTTAATTTTAAATACGGTAAGAGTGACAGAAACTGTTTAAAGTTTTTATTGTTAGCAGCAAAGATGTTATGTTCTTCTGTATAACTTGCGAAGTTACATATTCTTTGCTATAGGTACCGCCCCCGCCCCTTAACTGATGCCCGGCTTCTTAGCACCTATTGATTATTAAATACATGTATTTATATCTTTTGTCTATTTGACAAGTTGCGGTAAATACACTCTTAATAATCTATTCTTTGTAAATTTGGCAGGCTAGTCTTCAAGCCAGGCAGTTAATACATGCCCTTCTGCATAGAGACCCTGCTAACAGATTGGGATCAGATAATGGGGCTAATGAAATTAAACAACATCCCTTCTTTCGTGATATCAACTGGCCACTTATCCGTTGCATGGTAATTCTAATTACCTGCATTTTAGTTTCATATCAATTTAGAGATCAAACTTTATTATAATACTTGAATGTCTGACTTACTGTCATAGCCTGCTCAAAGTTACCGGAAACTTTATTCAAGCTAGTCATATTTTTAATAAAAGATACTCAACTTATCAGCTTGCTCAATACCCCAAATCTTCTACTTAAGTTACCTTTTAACCTGCCAAAATTCTCACAAACTTTATACCTCTTGTCATCGACTATCTTAACCATTCTACAATAAGTTTAACTAGAAAGAAAAATGGAGATAAAGAAAACTGGTAAAGATGTGAATATGATTGTCTTTGGAACATCGTTTTTTTTTTTTAATTATATCTGTACACTAGATGCACAATTTTTAGCTATATGAATTTATCCCAAAGAAATTCTCAATCATTGAAGCAGAAAGGAATAACTTAGTAACAACCATTTAGAACTATTAAAGATACCATGTTGGTATTTGTGCAGACTCCTCCGGAGTTAGATGCTCCTCTTGAACTAATTGGGAAGGAACCTTTGTCTGGTGCAAATGACATGCAGTTGGATGATGAAGAAATGCTCATTCAGACATTAGAAGCGTTATGAGGTGAGGTTCAGGTACATTATTTTTTAACTCTATGGTGACCCTACTAAAAGCAAATGCAACTCTCTACTATTATATTAGATACAGGCATCAATTGAAAAAATTTGCATTCCCATCCCTAAAATATTTCAATTTTTAATGATGATTCCAGCTAACCAACCCATCCCTCCTTCTTCCTGTGCAAAAAAGGCAAAATATCGAAGTGTTTGGCATGAAAAACTTCACTACTGAAATGTGCTATGTTAGCGGTTTGGACTATGACGGCGAACCTCTTTATGATATGACACTATTTATATATAACTGCAACAATATCAAAGCAGGAACAACAGATCTAAGACCCTAAGTGTATTCGGTACCATAAATATTTCAGGTTCAAGATTAAAACAGCCATACCATAAATCTCAACCTTGCAAGAGATTCCAGCAAGATCATCACGTGCAGTTGCAATGTTGTTTTCTGGAGCTTATACAGCATAGGAGATGCAATAGAAAAAGAAGAAAATCAAGAAGATAGCATGGTTAGGTTTTGCTAATAGTCGCATTTGCATTTGGATGTGCAGGAAATTCAGCGAGAATGAATTATCAGATAAAATGCATGCCAATCATGTACAGCAAAGAATAACAGTGTATGTTGTCGTTGCAGCGGCATTTTGCAGGCTTCAAATGGTGAAAGTTAAAATTAAATGATAGAGTTGTGGATTTTCCTAACACCCATTTCAGAGTTCAAGCATCCTCAATCACTTTCGGAGCGAGAAATTAATTTGTGTAGAAACTAGAAAGTGCAGAATATGAACTACTTTCAGGCGAATTTATCAGAGTAAATATGTTATTGAATATCTTCGTACATGTATGAAAGAGAATATATGTAACTGCATAATGAATAAAGTCTCATGGTTATTATTGAGTACTTCAATGACATGTCTAGTTCATTATCCCTCTAAGGAAAATCCTACAGCTACCAACTCAGAACTTGTGACAAAATCCGCTATTATCTCACGTTTGAACTAGTCATATTTGGTATGCTACCTATACTAGCAAAGCAAGATAAGTATACTGGCCTCTATTGCTGGTAAACCACTAAGAGACATTAAGATATGAGGACATTCATTTCCTGTAAAATATGAAGTCCAACTTGAGATATGAGGACCAGGTCGGGATGTAATGACATCCACTTTATGTTGATTACAATGTGAAACGAAAACGAGAAGCTTTAGGAATAAGATAACTAGCGTGAGAATATCAGCTGACAATCAAGTAAGAATTTGTGGGGAGAATGGTGGGGGTGGGGCTTTAATGGCATCATTATACAATAAAGAGAAGATTTAATGCCTCTATTCAGATAGGTTCCCATTTTTAAGTTATGCTTCTTCGTTATGTTCCTCTTTTCTCTAGGCAAACAACTCACCTTCAATCATACGAAAGTTTAAAAAATTATTTTTCATAAAAATGTCCTAAATCAAACTCAGGTGATCTCTCAGGTGCAAAGTATTTAACAGAAATTGAATCCGAGTCTGGACTTAATGAACCAGATGTTATCACATGCCAACAGAACACTGATGAGAACATCCCTATTAGTTGGGGATGCTTCAACTGCCATTGATTCAAACCTTTTCCAAAGACCTCTTCAACTAATTGCAGTCTGATTAAACACCTTCCTGAATACTGTTAATGCAACCAACTAGAGTATCATAATTCATAATTTCCAGGCACAATGTCTAGTAAGGTAAAAAATGTAAATTAAACAGCAGCAACCACCTGACTATTGCTTCCTAATTATTTTTATTTTAAGGGGGAGGGTAGGGAGGGAGGGCAAAAACTGTCATATTCTGAAAGTATGGGAAATCCAAAAAAAATTAAACAAGGACTTAACTATGTGTCCTTAAATCCAACAAAAATTAAACAAGGACTTAACTATGTGTGTGTTTCTTTGGGGGTATAATCGTACTTTCATATGAATTATAGCATGTTTTTGTACATGAAAACCATAAAATAATGACCATAATAACTTATACACCCAAGAAAAGGACATAAGAAACTTCATCTTATAATACTTAAGTAAATAAGGCAGGAAGAATATAATTGCCTAAATTTGTTAGAAATAGATGGATATAATGTTATCCTATCTGACAGGGAAGGATATGCTACTTTTATATAGGGAGAAGTATCCACAGTAGTTAATACAATCAGACATGGTTATTAAGCATATACAGGTGTTATATCACTTTTAAGACCTTGAGTGTGTTCCTTGTCCTTGTCATTCACTCATATGCTCAAATCGATCCTCATCAGTATAATCATTGTCAAGTATTACAACAGATTCCAGAAAACTCTTTTCGAGGACAAACCTAACATTAATATGATAGTAACACCTAAACATCCAGAACATATATGGAAGCCAATCCCTTAGAAATCTGAAGTTGCATATAGAATCATATATAGAGAAAGACACGAGACCCAAATTTCATTCTTGAAGTAATAACCAAAACGTGAAATTCACTATTTCAGGAAAGTACAAACTGTAGTAATCATATGCAGTTATGCTACCTACTTGGAATTAAGAAAGCCCATCTAAAAGCAAAACCAACTGAGTAGATGCTTTCAGCTTCATAAAGTATTCAAACAAAGACACAGGGGATTTGATTCTCTATTGTCTAAACTTTGATATGCCATATAGCCACACCATATGATACTTACGCACACAGTTGCTCTAGGTGATATAGGTAGCATCATAACCTGCATGATAAGAACAAGATGGACAGCAAAGCCTCTACAGCTACATTTATGAAATGCCTTCAAAATACCACGTACCTAGTTTTCCAAGAGGCACTTTTAGGACTTATCCCATTAGATACTCTTAATAATCTAATGTGCATGAATGCAACTATTTGAATCATAACTGTAAATTGTAATGCAACATAGAATAAGTACTGTAGTGACAGATGATCAGCAAAAAGATGTTTATCAATTGTTCACATTCAATTGATTTCTCCTAGCGTCCAAAAATGTCAATAACAGAAAATTTCCAAAACATACAGCTGCATATATGAATATTAGTTTATTATCAAGGGGAGCAATAGACTCACATTATGTTACCCTTTTACAAGAGCTGATACATAATAAAAAAGGTGAATTCAGCTAAAAGGGATAGCAGAGAAAATATAATCTCTACTTTTCCTTTCTGAATCCCCATCTTTTGCTTTTTTTCCCCATATTTTATAAGAAGATACCCTATCTCTTTCTCTTTGCTGAAATTGAGTTCTACCATAAGACATGAGAATCCAAGTGTCAGCTAATACTCTCTACTCTCGTGAACGAAACAATAAAGTTCAGTAACAATGAAGTGTCCAAATAATATCGCTTTACTAAACTAATGTAAAGTGATTTTTGTGATGTCCAAGACATATTTTTCCCTTACTACACGCATGTCCATTTTGTTCTACTCCTGTTCCTAGCTGCTGCTTTACCCCCAAACCCATCCATCCTAACAAACAGATTCATAACTCTAAATTTTGCACTTGTCAAAACCATCTCCAGTTTCATACCAACCTCAACTGGAGCTACCTCTAGCTTGTCATACACATAATATTTTATCTATATTCCATCATATTTTTGTTAGCTGTTTAACATTCTTATTCAGAATACACTCATTTACGGACACATTTTTTTCCTTTAACTACTTCTAGAAAACAATGTTGGTCTCTAGCTGTACAGTATATTTATTTTCAATTTGGAAGATATGATATAATTCCATTTTTGCTGAAAGAAACTATCATGATTTGATGAAACATCCTCCTCAACACCACTATCATTATTACTGATGGATGATTGTTCCAAATTAACAAAGAGTGGCAATTAGATATTTCTTGGCAACCAATATAGCAATATGTCATAGATGCAAATGAAGTTGAAAAGGAAAGTAGACAAGTTACAATTTTGATCAACATAACTGATATCGCCAATATGCGTAGAAGTAACAAAATAAAACAAAGACTAAGATATCAATTAATCTAGTTTTTATATGATCCTTGTAAATAGTCTGCTTGTTTTCTTCGACTATTAAAACTGTTACTGGAGCTTCTTATGCAGCAAATTAACAATGAGATTGCAAGGTAGCCACAATCATAATTCTTCCAATACCAAGGTCACACAATTGGTACCATTGATAGAGTACACTCATAAAACTGGGTAGAAGATATGTTTCGATGAGCTTATCTTACTGTATGCAATCACCCTATACAATCCACAGGGACCAGTTGTTTTTCCTCAAATGACAGCAATTTTTATGTCAAAAAAATACATAAGTAGAGATCGATATGTCCACAATATCGATGCCAAAAAGAACTAGAAACTTTATTAGCCAATTAATTCTAACTTGCAAGAAACAGATCAGAGATTCCTCTCACGCATTAATCCATAAACGCTTCATGGCTTCTTTGAACAACCCATCTTTGCATTGCCCAACTGATGGGTATCACAAAAGTTCAATCATCAAACAATTATCACCAGAGTGATCTTCAACCTCATATCTACGATGAACTTCAACTCTACTACGAATTTCCGAAGAACCATCAATTCTTTCTTCCTTGTTTTTGCATAAACATCTAGTATTTGATTGGCAAACCTGAAATTTTATTTGGGAGTGATGATATGTTTTTCCCTTTTGGCCTTTGACCAGCTCCTAAGGGTTTACTAGGAAGTCGAGAATCAAGATGGAGGACTTTGAATATGATAAACAACTAACCAAGATAGAGTAGACTAAATATAAATACAGTTCTCTTTTTAGGTTGGGTGTTTTTAGAACTTTAATTTCGTTCTATTTTGACTTGCTACCGTCCACCAGGCAATAGTGGTGTCCATGGATTGGGTTGGATGTCTTTGAGCAGTTTCATATCTGGACCTTGTTTGTCTGGACAAATTTTAAGGCTTAAAACTTAAAAGAGTCTACATCCACACACAGGTATAACGTTTTACCGGTTCTGGTGATTGATCGGTGAGTGACTATAGATACATGTATTTTTTTCCCCTTGTAATAAGAAAATATAATTAATAATCCTTAAACAGTTAAACCTACAGCACAAAGCATGAAAAGATCAATAAATTGTAAATCTGCAATTTTTCGCAGTTAAAAGTTTTTAAAACTGATAGTTTTATAAATTCAAGTATGAAAATTTTTTAAACATTTTAAAGCAAGTTAATTATACATACAGAAATTGTACGTCTTAAAAGAATTACAACTGAGAGATCTTGTTTGCTTAGAAGAGACAGGGTATAATGTATGAACGTTGTTTACAAGGTATGACAGTATCACAATTCACATCCATATTACAAGGTTATATCTGTTATAATAACACAAATTAAAAGTTGTGGGCTATCAAGTAGGATTGTGTGTATCAACTATCAAATTGTTTCATGATATCAATGCTTACCTGCTGGTATAAAAAACATTTCTTTGCTGCTGATAATATATCTTGAAGCTCAGTAAGACTACAAGAAAGGTACATAAGCTCATTTTGTCTTCAAATGATGAACATCATCAAGACACGTTACAATAATAAGAACTAAAGATCAAAATGTTAATTATTCAAGGCAGAATGAACTAGAAACACCAACAGACTCACCAAATACTTGTAGCAAAGAAATCAGAAAGGCCTCTGTGACTTCTTCTTTCCAAAGATAGCCTCCCAAACCATCGGCGAGTAAGGACCTTTCTTGTCCAAATACTCCCTGACACCCATCTCATCAATAGCAAAACCTTTCTCTCTCAAACTCCTCACAAACCCTTCAGCTTCTTCAACCCCCTTCTCCTTACAAAACCCATCAACCAAACCAGTGAGAGTCGCCGGGTTCGGTGAATGCCCAGACTCTAACATCTCGACACAAAACTCAACAGCATCCTCCAATCTCTTCCCTTTAATCAACCCTTGAATCATAACCCCGTAACTAAAAGCATTCGGAACAATCCCATTCTTCTGCATCTTCCGAAAAATCCTTTTCGCATCATCGAACTTGGCGGCCTTACAGAATCCTTCGACCACTGCAGTATAAATCACTACTTCGGGAATAGTTCCTCTCTCGCGCATTAAACCAAACAGCTTCATGGCTTCTTGAACCAACCCATCTTTGCACAGTCCATCAAGCATAGCAACAGCATTTGGGATTAACCCAGTCTCCTTCATCTTCTTAAATATCACATCCGCCTCTTCGGGCACTGAAGTGGCTGTATTGGTTTCTTCAGCCGTCTTGGGACTGTCCGTGGCACCAAAGTTCAAATTTTTGAGAAGGGCATCTCCAAGTTTATCCTTTTCCTTCTCTCCATCACCAGTTTTGAACGACCCATCATTCCTTTCTCCATTAGTTTCCGGAAAACCTCGAAAATCTTTGCTTCCAGCATAGGAATGTCGATTGAACTGACCATCTCTTACTCTCCTCTCTCTCCTATCTCCACTTAAGGGTTGATCAGGGTGCCGTGATCGAGGATTTTGACGGGGTTTTTCGGCATCATCTCGATCTCTCTTGCCTTCAAAATTGAGATTTCGGAGGAAATTCTCCTCAGATTCATTGCCATGACGCATGCTGTCGCCTCTCATGGGTCTGCCAGGGTTTGTACTGAAATGGGCAACGGAAGCTAGAGAAGGGGAGTTCTCGGTGACTGGGGATTTGGGCAAATGAGCGAATTTGCTCAAAAGATTCGAGAAGAGGGTTTTGGAGATTCTGGGCTGCATGATTTTAGAGAGAAGAAAAGATGTCCTGGGGACAAGTAGGGTTTTAGGAGCGAGAAGCAATCAAGCAAAATAAGGAAAAAGGTCGTCCAAATGACCGAATTAGTGTCGAATCGTGAGGGGTATTTCAGGGAAATGGTTAAGTGCGGGTAGACCCCTGTGAGATCACCCGATTGCTGATGGACCCCTGAAGTTCTAATGGTGTGGATATCCCCTGACTGAATTTTTTTGTTTTTTTTAGGGGCTGTTTGGTTCGTTTCCTTGATATAGAGAAATGCAATTCCATATAAAGAAACACAAGTTTTGAGTTTTCCAAACTTTTCCAAGAAATAGATTGTTTTGTTTTGGTTCGCACATAAAAAATGGTGGGAAACCAATGTATTTATTTTTCTTGTGTTTGGTTCGCATAGAAAAAAAAAATTTGTAAACAAAGCAGAGAAGGAAAAAAATCTGACGTGGCAGAGTTTTCATCAATTTCACTTGGTTGGGGAAGGAAATCGGAGAGGGAAAAAAATCTTAGTTGGCGACGATTTCAGCAGAGTTTTCCCTCTTTCATTCGAGCGAACCAAAGCGGCACAAAGAAATGGACGGAAACAAAAAAGCTGACGTGGAGGGCTAAAAATCTGACGTGGAGGGGTTTTCTGAGTTTTCCACCCCTTATAATAAGCGAACCAAACAACCCCTTATCGTAACAGAAAAAGTGTGTACTAAGTATTGAAAACTTTTTTTTATAGTGGCGGATAAAACCCCGCGTAGTTGTATTGATGTGAATAGACTGACGATTGCTAATTTTTGGATTAATTTCACATAGCCCCCTGAATTGTAGGTCTGTTTCACGTAACCCCTCAAAAAAAGTTATCTCACATAACCTCCTGAATTTTAGGATGTCATACAAAAAGCCACTTGAACTTTACCTTTTTTCATTGGACCCCTATCTATAATTTATAAATGACTAAAATATCATTGAAGAAAAAAATTCCAAAATTGTCATTTGTTATTTACAAGAAACATACCCCCCCCCCCTAATTTTTGGAATTGTCTTCTCTCTTAAGGAAAAAAAGGCATTTGTTTCCAAATTATATGAAGTGGAGACTTGCGAGAAAAGTTTAAAGTTTCGTGTGTGTGTGTGTCTGTTTTTTTAATTTCTTTTTTTTGGTTTTTTTT